AAACATACCCCTTCAGCTGCACTTATATAGCATGGTAGATATCGTAGCTTCCACTGTACTCTTATCTTCACATTACTTGAGCAGTCAACTGCAAATAAAATTCAAATTTAATATCCAGAAAAATAACATTCACCATCAAACTGCAAAATACCACTTTTGTCAAATGAGGAGTGTAAATGTTAACTGAAAATCAAATTATTTTCCAAACACTTTTGATTTACCTTTTACTGATACAGGGGTGTTATTATACATGGTCTTGTGTACCATGGCATATGCATTGTCCTAAAAGATAAAAAAATAGGTATATGTCACTATCAATAATGTAACATTCTATGATTGTGCAGAGCACTTTTAACTGTTATTATATAACAATGTTTTGAGAAGTATCTGCACTTGATTTTAAAACAGCTACTCTTCAGGAAAGTTTCTTACACTTCAACAGAATACACTAAATACACCAACTTTTTTATGAATGTACTCCTTGTTTGGACGTTCCTCTCCCATGTATATGACTAGCTTCTAAACTCATTGCATGACAAAGTCCAAGTGACGTTTTTTGAAAATGAAGTTGAGAAACTTTTGACTCATTTTCGTACTAGCATACTGCTCTGTATTACGCATTTTAGTATGTCTCGGGGGGAAAATATAAATATGTAGCCTCTATCAGTGGAAGATGGATTCAATGGGGACGTAACAAGAAGGAAAGAGTGAATAAATGGACAATTTTCATCCAGCACAGACTATATAATAAACACTTAAAGTACTTCTTTCAGACGAAATGTCATATAAAATATCAAATCAGTAAGATATAAGGTTACAACTGTGAAAATAAAAATAATTCCACGTCACATATCCCACTGAAATAAGAACAGACATCTGTCCTTCATATTAACGAATGATGCCATCAAAAACATTTAAGAAATGTACCTGATTCAGCGAAAATTGCCATCTTCCTTGCTCTACTGCAATTACACATGCCCAAAAAAGCGACAACACCAGCACTAGCCCTTCTAAATTATTCGCCATCCTTAATGTTGTCTCGCAGAAACGGGAGTGACAGGTGTAAAATTCACAAGTTTAAGAAGACAAAATGAATTGAAATGCTTATATAACAATCAGTAATAAATATAGAAATTCTATAAAATACTGAGCGAAATAATCTATTCGATAAGTTTATAATCTATATTTTTTAAAATTCCTTGTATCGATGCGGGACTCTTATTGATGTGGCGCTGACCTTGACCTGTTGAACAGCAAATGGGTAATCTCCACGATGTCGTGACAGTTTCGTGTGTAAGAAAAACATCATGAAGCCTGAGAAGGAAGTTTTCTTAGTTATTTTCGTCAGTATTTTTACTTCAGGGGGAACAGACTTTAATCCTTTTTCTGATGATGTTTTACATACCATTAACTGGGTGCCTGCAGCATCATTTCCCGACGAAGACAATCTTCTAAATGTGAGTTCTGAAAATCAACAAGATGTTTAAATTATTTAATTGTAAGATGACTGGTGTTAGTGTAAGAATCGATGGAGGCCCCCAATTTCTTCGTTAACTGCCGTTCTATAGGTATCGTTTTGTAGCTAATTGAAAACATAATATATTGATATTTATATGAAATGAACAAATTAGTTTTTCCATTTTGTTAACTGAGAAAAACCTTGGGTATAGTACTTTTCCTAAGGTAATTAATAATAAAACAGGTGAAGAACGGATCATACTACAATACATAATACAGTGCAGTATACTAGACAAAACGAGTTTGGTGACATATAAACATAGGAAAAACTGTTCACAAGAAAATAGGGTGAAATAAAAGCAACGTTTATATGAGGTTATTAATATCGTTCATCCAAATAAAAAAGTGTCCAATTTGTTTTTGTTTATCGTCAGATCATCTGCCATGATGGACATGTATATGCTAGTAACTCTTCTTAGTAGCTCTTCTTAGAAATATTATCCTAAGATAAACAAATTGTACCACATATCGTACTGATTTGTTATGTTTTAATCAACATGTTCATTCCTAATCAAATATTTCACTTTTATATCACCCTATTTTCTTGGGAATGACCTTTTCCTATGTTTGCTTGCATACAGAGTCATTTTTGCTGTATTGCGCATTTAAGTATGTCCGGGGGAGAAAGAAGAAAAGTAGTTTAAACATTTTCATTATCTACTATGTGTATTTGATGAGAATCAATGCCTTTTAATGTATAATGTATGTTTTAATGTATATGAACAAATTATGTATGGATGCTGATTATTTTCTAGGATGAAGATAGTTTATTGCTTACCACAAACAACAAGGAAAAATATAGATGCATTTTCCCAAAGCCTCAATCCTCAGGATCTCGTTCACAGGTAAAAAAAGTGCTATGTGTGTAAGTGTTAAGGCTAATGGTGTAGATGTGTAAGGAAGTTGAAAATAAAGAACCACTGTTACGTGGAAAATTGTACTGGACTCTGTGTTATTGATATTGAAAAAAAGAGGGGGAAAAAACAGTTCAAAATTTGGATTAAAAAATTAGAAATGATCAGTAGAATTTAAAAGTACACTCATGGCTTTAAGATGTAAGGTTTTTAGCAATGCAGAAGACTGTCAGAATGAAAAACAGTATGGTAATCTTATTCATTTCATCGTGCTTTGTTATGCAAGGATTTGCTGACATCTGTTTGATTCTGTTTAATTGCAGGAAGAACTGAATCACAATGGTCCAAGTGAAGAAGAGCTGTTAAGTCCGTTATATAAGCAAAGTAGCTGTTCATATAGGGTAAGAAAATCTACCAATTATGTTCATCATTAAGATTTGTAGTGTGAAAATTACATTGTTATGATTTGTTTATGCCAGGTCGTCTGCCATATTGCCAAGAAAAACCACTTCCTATAACTTCTCAGGTGGTCAATATGGCAGATGAACCAACAATCCATAAACAAACAGTATCAACAATCAACAATATTTGTTACCTAGTAATACATTGTACTTCTATGTCACCCTATTTTCTTGCAAATGACCGTTTCCTGTGAATACTTCATGTGCTATGTTGTGCTGTATTGTGCATTTTAGGAAGACCCCTTAAACTATTACATTT